CGAGAAATCGGGCAACGTGAACACGTAGCTCTGCGTCTCAAACGATGACGGCGAGTCGCTGACCCGGTCGCCGGATCCGGTGCTAATTCCGTTCACCAGGTTGCCGGGTAATTTGAAACGGGAATCGAAAATCAGCGAAATGTTGTCGCTAGCTTTTGATATGCCACGTAACAATTTCGACCCTAAAGCACCAATGAAGAAAGACAAACGAATGTACAAGGTGAGAATAACAAAACAATTGAAAACACCTACTGCTGTGCTCCTCGCTGCTTTCTTTCAAACCTCCTCCATTCTGCATAGCAGTGGGTCGTTGACCGTGCGCAATCACCACTTCACTTTATAAGAAAGTGCCTGAAAATCAGAAACAAATATAAATACGATAAACATCAAGTAAGAAATGCCAACAAACGACACAAAGCGAATCACAGGCGTTGAACACCGACACGATCAATCAAGTAGTCTGCGGTTGAGGAGATCAGTTTGCTTACGCAGTGCAGCCACTGTCACAGAAATGTGTCATTACCGTACAAAGTAAACTTGAAGAAGCTGAAAATTACGTCTATTCGGGTACAGAGAACCAACTGAGTGAACTGTGCGAAATCAACAGAATAAAAATGATACGGAACACTTTTGGAAGACTGGAAACGTTTCTGTCCGGTAACTGCTTTTCTGCTTGAAACGAAAAGTATCCGATCCCCGTGATAGCACTCAGTGATAGGTTATGGATGCGAAATGTCGACCTTAGGTCTGAAAGCCATTTATAAACTGCAGACTACGTAAAGCGTCTGTTAAATGATGTGTATTAATAATAATAGGAAAAAATGGAAAAAAGAATGAATGGATAAGAGCACAAACAAGAATGCGTGATGTCATTGTCCGAGTGAAGAAGTTAAAGTGGCAATAGACAGAACACACTGCAAGAAAAGCCGATCATCGCCGGACCACAGAGGTTCGTTAGGTCCAGATATGAGAACTGCAGAATACATAGGTCTTCATTCAGCAGCTGATCAGAAAAAACTGATAATGATGGCGATCGTGATGATACCCAGTAAACGCGGCGTACAGTGTGAAACAGTGCATAAGCAGCGCCGAGCTAAAATTGTATCAAACTATCTCTGACATTAAGGGTATCTAGGAGCCACAGAAAGAAATGAATGACTGAAAAAAATTCTCTACGTCTAATTACAAAACTTCTTGTTCTACGTCATATTGTAATTGCTCATCTACTTTTCTTTTTTTCTTAATTTTGTCTTCTTACTGCCTCCTTTTGATACGCCTTCATTTTTTGGTCTTTTCTTTACTCTTATAATTCTTGTACTTCTTTCCTCATTTTCTTTAACCCCTTTTTTTCTCTTCTCCCTTCCATTCCCAATGGAAAACAGCCCTATCTGTATTCACTTACAACCAGTGCCAGCTTGTTTTCAAGCAGTGATGATAGTAGAATGAGAAGGCCATTTCAGAGGTTAAAGTAATGCACCAAACCAAGTAAGCATGAGTGCCCGAAAATGCGATGCATTCAATATACCTGAGTCATCTGAACGCAGGTCTAGTCTACTTGCAGCCATGCGCCTCTAAGAAACGAATCAACGCGCGAGCATCTGTTTTAGCACCATGTATTCAGTCTCTGATCCTGATACCCCAGATGACGACAACAACAATCCGTTTTAGCACATGCGCACATTTTTACCATTAATACAGAAACAACGCACTTCACTTACCTATAAATAAAACTGACAAAAAATGAAAGGAAGAAACAAACAACAACAAC